CATCGGACCTGGATATCTTCGAGACCGCCTCCTGCCGCAGATTACCCCCCATCGACCTGTACGCTCCCACAGAGTGGGTCTCCTCAGGGTGCCGTCGGCCAGACAGTGCCGGCTGGCGACCCCAAGGGGGAGGGCCTTCTCTGTGGGAGCTCCCACCCTCTGGAATGAACTACCCCCAGAGATCAGGGTGATCCCTGATGTCCCTTCCTTCCGCCGCGCCCTTAAGACATGGTTATTCCAGCTTGCGGGACTGGCCTAGGGGAAAATGTTTAGAGGGGGTTTTAAAATAATTTTAAATTTTTTAGACCAATTATTAATATTTGCCTTTTAATTAAGTTTTAATCAGTAGTTTTGATATTTTGTATTTTTATCTGGTTGTTAGCCGCCCTGAGTCCGCAAGGAGAAGGGCGGGATATAAATATAAATAATAAATAAATAAATAAATAAAATAAATTACTGGTCAGTGAATATATCCTGATGAAAGTTATTGGGCTAGTTTCAGTAGATAGAAATGATCTTTCGGTTTATGCAAGTTGACCTAATTTATATATATCATCATTCCACTCTGGATAAGGAGATGACTTGAGATCACCACCAGTGCTCTAGACTTAAGGAAACTGCAAGACAGTGGTCTCTAGCAGGTTTAGTGCTCTAGAACAGGGCTTTTCAACCAGTGGTACAGGTACCACCTGTGGTACATTGGCACCTAGCAGGTGGTACGCGACCATCCTAGAAAAGTGGTAGCGGGGGAGGGGAATGAGCTGAACCGGTGGCAGCACCGCACAAGCTGGAGCTCGGCGTTGATCCTGGCGCTTCTGAGCCCAGAAGAAGCGCCGATCAGCTGGAATGTTGCAGCATCTCCAGGGTCTTGTGATTTACATTCAGATGCTTGGCAACTGATTCATATTTATGACGGTCACAGTGTCCCAGGGTCATGTGAAGTGACCAAAACCTGCTGCAACCAGCCAGCAGACAGGGGGGAATAAAAACCAAACACCCCCCACCCCACCCCTGCTGCCAATCCTCAACAGAAATGCTCACAACAATGGAAACCTCGGACAGGAGGAAGAGCGCCGCCAGGTGGGCAGGCAGGTGTCTTGCTCGGCTGTGGCTTGGGGGGCACTTTTTTCAGTGTCATTGTAACTTTGAACAGTCACTAAGTGAACTGTTGTAAGTCGAGGACTACCTGTACTTTATCACTTTTTTCCCTTTTTTTTTTTTTGGGTCATCAAGTTTTTGATACCTTGCGAGGCGATTGGTGGTACTCGGATATTGCCATATCCTAAAAGTGGTACAATGGGTGAAAAGGTTGAAAAGCCCTGCTCTAGAAGGTGAGAGAACAGCCATCTTGCGCAAACCATGATTGGCACCTTTAAGGACACTATATTTGCTTTTCTGCCACTAGGAAATCACACTACAACCTAATGATTTTCAGAAATTCTTAGCTGCTTTTAAGCTATTAGGAACCTTTGGACTGACAAATCTGAAAAGACTGGGTGATTTTTCTGCAATCCTTAGTTTAAGAAAGGTTAAATATGAGTTTACAAAAGGGTCATTAGAACTTTGATTTTAGAAAGTTAAAAATGGACTAAGGATCCAGATGGATTTGAAATAACATTTTGGAATTAATTATAAGAATATTCTCCTGGAAAACTGCTTGTTTTGAATTCTTTTTTAAAAAAATGGTAGGATAAGATTTTGAAAATTTGACACTACAGGGAACTAGAAAGAAGAAAGGTTACAGTTAAAGGAGAAGAGGATTTAAATTTGACTTACTAATACAGAATGAAGCCAATATTTTAATATTGAATATATTGAAGGATATTTTTGAACATTGACCCTGGAAGTTAATTTAAAGAACATTTGCCTTTATAAATAGGTAGACTGTGTTTAAAAGATGTTATGAAAGAGAAACAAGTTTTACCTGAAAAGATTGAGGCTGATCTGAATGTGGCTTTAAAAATGTCAAGCTACAAGAATGATAGGAAGGAAGATGCTACACTGGATATACAAGAGAAACCAGCTGATGTCTTAATGAAAAGGAATAGGCAAATAACAAATCAAGAGAGTGACTGGATAATTTTCCTATATTGGATTTACAACAGAAACTTGCTTAAGCTTTGAAGAACATTGTGAGAAGGGACAAAGAAAAAATAAAAAGAAATCAAGTTCTAAGATATTATTTGAAAGTACTAAAAATCAAGATTGTTAGAAGTAAAAGGAAGGAATATAAAATTGGTTTATTTCATCTAAGTTAAAATAGATGTGTTATTATCCCTGATAACTCTTAATTGAGTTTTGCTGATCAGGACTGAAATGAGAAGATTTTAAGCATTTGTTCACGGATAAGAGATGAGATATGGGAAGACATTATTTGTTATATTTTAAGAGAAGGTGATAAGTTACTAAAATTGTTTATACTTGTGATGAAGGGGAGAGGTTTTTTCATTACTGTGTTCTTTTTTTTTTTCTTACTATTTTTCCCCTTTTCTGCATCTTTTTTGTTTTTTTAATTCTTTAGTTTATATTAATTTTTATCTTTGCAATTGTAATTTTAATGAAATTATTATAATCTTTAATAAAGTACTATAATAAAAAAACAACTTAGGCAGATTACTCAACAATCCTAAAATGTAGCTTCCAGGAAAGATAAAATGGGTGAACAAAGCAAGACCACAAACACTATCTTAAGCCATTAGTAGAAAAGTGGATGGATAATAACGCCTGAGCCAAACCTTTCCCTAATCTAGGGCTCTCAAGATGTATTGTCTTTACCATTCCTTGTAGGGTAAGCTTTCTGGGAATTGAGAGTCCCAACACCTTAGAGTACCACAGGTTGGATAAAGTGTGGCTTAAGTGGGTTGTTCTAATCAGGCTTAAGTGTTTTTGCATGTTGTACATACATTTATGTGAAGTTTGGAAAACCCTCCAAGTTGTGTTTATTCTGTCTCTTAGGTCCCTTCACAGATGTTGTGACAACAAATCTGAAACTTGGCAACTCTACAGAAAAAAATGTTTGTTTCAAAGTGAAGACTACGGCTCCACGCAGGTATTGTGTACGACCCAACAGTGGAATTATAGATGCTGGAACGTCAATTAATGTCTCTGGTGAGTTTATCCAATTGTTTTTTGTTTCGGAAATACATCTGCTTTCCCCCCACTCATGATCATTTTGGTTCTGAATACAGCTGGAAGAGAATAAACAGATGTTAAATGGCCTGTGTAAAGCTGACATTTTGAACAACCCTATATATTCTGCAAAGTTTCTTAAAAAATTACAGAACTGTTTCAATGTCAACACCAAGTTATTTCTCCT